ACACACAAACAGGACAAAGAACAATAATCACCGTATCAAGTTACTCATGTGATGCTTTATTGTCTTTACTTCATGTATAAATACAACATCCAATAAATTACAACAACAGGAGTTACAGCAGACGCATTTTCTGCACAGTGATGGATGAAATGCAGCATTCACACGCACGCGCAGGCACACGCTCATACAAACTCGCACACGCACAGATAACAGCTGAGTAGATGTGGGCGACTTGTACAGTACAGCGAGTGTTGGTTGGTACCAGCTGGTTGAACAGAGACTGGAAGGTTAAAGCGCGGTGAGCGCGAGGACGCTGATGTGTAGCGGCATAAACTCTGCCTGATGCTATCACTGTTCGTCACGGTCATGTGCCCCCAGCTCTCTGACATCGCCCAGCTCAGCAGCCTGAGTGCACATTACATCAGCTGGGACCGAATGTTAAAAGGCTGCAAGCAAATAAATCCAAAGTAGAAATAAGTCGGCAAAAACAGGCGACAGGAGCTGATTTAAACCCAACACGGGACAGGTTTGGCACTTCGGTTCAACAGCTTTTTGTGCTGTGTGGCAATGACATGGCAAAAGGTGCTAACATTTCTTTTGTGACACCACCTGCTGCCCACGCTGCTGCCCCCAACTCTCAAAGATGAATAGGCCACTGATTGTGTTATCCACACAGCACAACAATGCAAACAAACGACCCACAAATGTGTCCTTCAGCGCAGCCTATAGGAATGAAGTATTTGCCATCGATATGAACTACTTGCTACTTCCTTGTCCTCTCGACCTCGCCTACTGTTGCAGTTGTCCTCTGTTATTTGGTCCTAAACCACTAATTGTGTTACAGCTCGCCTGATGCAGAAACAACGACGAGGTCTGAAAGGTAAGAATGTGACGGACCGCACGTTTCCCGTCCCGGGCGCCTGCTCCGTGTCATGACGAGACTGGACTGTAAACACTGCAGCAGAGCACTTACACTGTTCACCTGCACTAAAAAGAGGCTTTCACACTTTTAGTTGCGTAACAGACCGGCTTTGGTCTTTTCACCTCTCATCATGGACGCCACGACTTCTACTGAACTGTTTATCAACAAAGACGTTTCAGCTCAATTCAGTAAATGTTCTATTAGCTGCCGTCTTTAGCGTATGTTCAGTAACATTCAAGTGTTGTGTTCTGTGAATAAATTTACACACTGATCTGAGATCACTCTAACTAATTTAGTACGTCACTGACAAACAGCAGAATCCCTGTAGGTCCGTGCGGTGCCTCGGGTTAACGTTGGAGGACAAAGCTCCGACGCCGTCACCGTCAGCCCGACGGCAGCACAAACTTAACGGTTTCCTTTCTGTGTGTTAACGGCTACAGGAAGTGCAGCACAAGCAGCAGCTTTGCAGAGCAGCAGTCGTCAGCGCAGCGTGGACGTGGAGTGACTAAACAGAAGTGTATCTGTTGCCAGGGGCGGATCTAGAAGGGTGGCATGGGGTGGCAAGTGCCCCCCTAAAATGATCC